CAAGAGTGAAAATTTAGACCAAGAATGTGACTTGCAAGACCGAAAAGTACTTCCCGATCGGACGCATAAGGGGGAAAAAAATGACTGCAGACGGTTTCCAGAATGCCCCACCACAATCGGCTAAGCGCAGCCTTACAGTGGGCATCACATACAAAGGTTTTCTGGACAGGCTTGAAACGTTCCTCTCAGGGCTGATCTGAGAAATGTTAATGTTTCAGGCAAGGATCAAGTTCCAGCCAGACTTCCCAAAAGAGAATAACTCCTTCACCGTACCCTAGATATAACAGGCCAACGGAAAGGATCCAGGACAGGCGATGTGGCATGCAGAACTCTTATCCTCCAAGCCAGGGGAAGGACTGTGGGGCTCAGATGGCAACGATCCGATGCCGCTTGTCACTTGAGGGTGTCGACTCACTTCATTGAAGGAGAGGGCTAGCCCGGTTGGATCACCTCTCCCTTTTCTCCCCTCACCCAAAAGGCCATAAACCAAGAACAAGTGTCTTTGGACCACATACTTAATGTGTAGGGTGGGTTGTCTTGGGGGGGGGCAGGACTTGTGCCCCCTACAAAAGAACACACTCACATTTCCTACGGAGTCAGGGGGAGGAATGAGGTGGTTCATTCCTGTTTTGTCCAGAGAGCTGGAAGAACCGGGCGGGGGGGGGCGGAGAGGACTTTTTCTCCTACTGAAATCAGTCATCTGGGAAAGTCCATCGATCTGGCAGTGCTCTAGACGCCTCCCTGCTCCTTTTCCTGCAAGCCATCGCTCATTGTTCAACTGCTCATGCAGTTATTACTTTCGTAAAACCACGCAACTTTTTCATGCGCGCAGAAGAAATGACCCGATAGAGGGAGGCAAAGCTTTTGATTTACTCAAAAGCTTCCTTTTAGACCAAACTTCTCAGTCTTCTGGCCTACACACACGAGGATCACAACCCCCATCACCCCAAGGGAGCCATTTCAAGGCTGCTCAGGTGTGATGGGTACTGTAGTCCAGTCTCTCTGGAGGGGACCAACTTGTTAAAGGCTGATGGTGACCAGCACCCCCCCCTACAAACAGCGAAGCTGTAACTATTTCCCTAGAAGTAGCCACAATGGCAAAAACAAAGGAGGGAAAGCGAAATATGGGTGGTCGGAATTGTCCGCATTGAGGATCCAGACACAGACGGACATATCGGCCGACATAAAACACTTTCCTCATTTTCAAACACATAGGAGATGAACACACACTTAACATCTGCCAGAATTAACAAAGTTCTTCTTTCTTAAAAGCATTGGTTGAAGTTCCATCTTGGCCGGGTCCACAAGGGTGTGGCCCGGTGGGAAAAAATGCTCCCTTAGATGCTGGTCCCATCGGAAGGTCCAGCATCTTGGCCGGGTCCACAAGGGTGTGGCCCAGTGGGAAAAAAATGTGGCTCCCTTAGATGCTGGTCCCATCCGAAGGTCCAGATGAATGAAGGCTGGTCTCATGCCACTAAGAGCCCGAGTTACCAAGCTTGTTCCAGTCTTGCTTAAAGTCACAAACTCACACAGTGGGGTAATCCAGATGAAGTAAAACCTGAGCAAGAGAGTGGGACGACCTTATATGTGCAGGATCGCAGAGTATATGTCCACAGGCCTTTATTCTGTGCCAGCCTCAATCTGCAACAGGGGATAATACCACTTGCCTTCCCTTCCGGGCTATCGCACAATCCTGCAAACCGAGCACTTCCAATATGATGCAGAAATGCTAAAGATTTTTAACGTTATTCACATGCTTGGCCAGCAAGCTGAGCCACCGTGCACAGAATTAAAAGGGAATGGTCTTTCAGCGGCCCATTAATTTACAATTAAATGACTCATACACAGCCCCCCGCCCTGACTCTATGGGTCCACCTTCTTGTCTTCTTGCTTTCTCGTCCTCTGAAACATGCATCATGGCCGTCGCCCACAAGATCTACTTTCTGCAGTACATTAATGCTCCCAAACCTCCCTTAGCCCACCGAGCGCTTTCGCATATCATTTCACTATCAGCGCACACTCCACACCCCTGGATCAATCCCTTCCAGTTTCCACACACGTCTCAGTCTTGTGGAAAAATCCTGCTAGCCACATTCAAGGCTCCTCTGGGAGTCCATGGATCATTTTTAAAATCCAGGGAAATTTCCTGTCTTCCCCCTTCATTGGCTCAAATATCACATTCAGACGGCTGGAGGCTACAACCATCAGTCAGAAAGATGAGGGCTGCAGAGTCCCCAGCACCTTGTATCCCAATAGCCTTCAGGTCTACTTGAGTGGCAAAGGAAAACCAGAGAAACGGAGCCTGTCCACACTGGCCTTTAGTTATAGTCTACGGTTTCCTGATAGCACTGTTTGGCATAGGCGAAAAAGACCATGTCGGCTTTTGCTTCTATTTAGAACAGTCCATCCTTCCCCTTTAGGAGCTGGCCCGTATCTTTCTGGCACAGGGCTAGGGCATGCAATCTTTTTGGAGTGATTCATTGAGATGCAAAATAGCTCTTTGTTCTCCCTTTGCAGATGAGTAGGTACCAAGAATTAAAACAGATTGCACTGAAGATAAGGATTTTTAAAGCACTGGCCGGATCACGCTCAATTCCACAGTGTGGACAAGCCCATGGGCCCAAAATTTTGCTTCCTTTTTTTTCAGTGTACCCAACACTTGTCATGGGCATGTTTTCTGGAACAGAAAGAGTGGGGCCATTCAGTCAAAAGGAATCTAAAGAAAAACTTTGCAGTTTCTAGTCCAGAATGGGCAACTCTATTATCCAAGGAATTGTCCAATCTATCTAGTTGTTAAGGTGGGACTTCCACCAGCCCCTTTCAGAATAGACCAGGATGCCAATTTATTTATTTATTGGACTTATATACCACCCCATAGCACTACAAATACTCTCCGGGCGGTTTACAATTTTAATTATACAGGCTACACATCCCCCCCCCCCCAGCAAGCTGGGTACTCATTTTACCGACCTCGGAAGGATGGAAGGCTGAGTCAACCTTGAGCCGGCTACCTGGGATTTGAACCCCAGGTTGTGAGCACAGTTTTAGCTGCAGTACAGCGTTTTAACCACTGCTGTAGTCCAACAGGTGGAGGCGGCATCAGTTGCCCACTTCTGATCTAATTCCACCCACCTCCCACATTCCTTTTCAAACAGGGCACCAACCAAGACAATCTATGGGAAATTCAGATGCTCTCAAACTGTGGGGCCTTTATTTATTCCTTTTGTGTCTTGTCCCCATTTCCTACCCAAAAATCAACTGCCTCTGTAACTGGAGTTTCTTTTACTGATACCACCCCATCTCTATAACACTGTCTAATCTGTGAAACAGCCCAACACAGAGAGAAACTCCATTTGACAATTAAGAGGATTAAAAAAAAAAAAACCAAAAAACCAAAAACAGCTTGGGAGAAAATGTCTAGGTATCTAGCGGTGGAGCCAGAGTTTGGGAGTTCGATTCCCTTGTGGTGCCTCCTCGACATGGGCTGGACTGGATGACCCACAGGGTCCCTTCCAGCTCTGCCATTCTAAGACTATAAATGAAGAACAAGTGAATGTCCTCATTCAGGAAGAAATGCTTTTCTTAGGTCATCTACAGGCATGCACAGAAAGCAGGTCTGGACCTCTGCATCGATCTTGGGGCGGGGCGGGCTGTACCAAACCAGCAAAGATTCCTGATTCCCCAAAGTTAACAAATTCAAGCATTTAAGGTTTCCTCTGGAAATCTACCTAGTATTTCGGAAACGAAGGAAGCCAGTGAAAGACGTCCACTCGCAAGTCTATTCATTTTATCTATGGATGCTGACTCGACTGCAGTTTTTACCTGGGTACCCCCACCCCACAGATACCTGTGGGGTCGAAGTAATCCGGAGTCTCGGCTTCCTGTGGGGATAATTCAGGTCCGGCTCCTCGATCTTAAGTGTGCCTACCCAATACTGCCAATTCAACTTGTGGAAATCACAACCGCGGGGGATACTGGGGAGAATACCCGCCCTCCGCTCCTCGGGGTACCCCTGCCGTATGCCAACGTTCCTAGACAGCGCAGGCTTTCAGGAGGAACAGGGCTCCTCCGCACGGCAGCCACCGTCTCCGGGAGCCTCGGTGAACTTTCGAGGAAGACGCGGGGCCGCCTTCGCGAGCTCCCCCGAGGGCGTCCAGCGAAGCGGGACCTCGTCGCGGGGATTTCCATAATGACTGGAGATGATAGGCGGGATATAAAATGAATGAATGAATGAATGAATGAATGAATGAATGAATGAATGAATGAATGAATGAATGAATGAATGAATGAATGATGGGATTTCTAGTCCAACCCATCCGGAAGAATTGAGATTAGGCAATTCCAGTGTGATATGGTGACCCTCACCCTCTGCATGAGAAAATTTTCTGCCTTGCTGGAATTCTTTGTGATGAAGAGAAGTCATGTCCTCATGGTTTTCTCTGAAGACAGTGCAGAAATCCCTCTTTATTTTTTTAAGTTTGTAAGAAAATAAATTTATTAAAAGCTTTTAGCCAGAAGAGTTTCCATACCGGCTTACAAATTGACAGAAATAAACACAGCTTTTGCCATCATGCTTATAACTAAAAAGACACGCCAGAAAAATTGTGAATTTCGCCGGCGCCCCATCGCTGACCTAAAGTCATTCCTCTCTTTCCTCCCTACCCCCCCGGGCTGGCTGCCGTGGCACCCCCGACGGGGCAAGCCGGGCGCCTGCGATCCGGCTACCGGGCGCCGCAGAAGGGGACGCGTCCCGCCCCTGGCTCTCGCCCAGCCGCTCAGCCGGCCCGACGAAGGGCTCTGTGGATCGCGACGCTTCCACACCTCCGGGCAGGTACCAAAGGCGAAAAAAAAGCAATACCTTTAAAAAAAATACACACACACACAAAAAAAAAAAACTTTCGCTTTTCTCCAAAGCTCCCCGGGTCGGTCCTCGGCAGGGACCTCCCGGAGAAGCCTCGCCTCGGGCTTCCCCAGCCCGGACACCACCAGCGCTCGCTCACCTCGGGGCCCCTGGAGAGTAGCCGGCGGCGGGCTGGCTAACCGGGCGCTCCGACGGGCTCCATCCTCCCCGGGGCAGCAGGAGCGGCGCCCGCGATCTCCGCGCCGTCTACGGGC